TCAAACCTTCACTAGCAGTCTCTTAACTAGTACTTACCAACATTCAAAACCAGGTCAGCCACCTGGTTTTTATACGCTCTTTAAAGAGAGTTATATTAGCCCAGAGTTGTGGTTCATTAAACACAACTCGTGTTAAAATGTGTCCGTTTCTGCTAAGTTGGTGCTGTTTTGTAACTTTTTTTTTTATTATTCAGTTTTCTTAATGTTAAGTCTTAGTCAAAATACCTAACACATGCAGTCATTTTTATTCAATTTAAATCAATCCAAAGAAAAGTATGATACTGCAAAATATTTTACTGCAAAACTTCAATGTAGCCAAACCTTCCAAGTAGAGGACATAAATACTTGTTTAATATTTCTCCTGGAACCCGTTAACAGCTGTGATAATAGATTCGGACTTCAAGTACCCTTGAGTCCAAAAAGGCGTGTCCTGGCTCCCAGAAATCCTATTAACTAGTCTTAGAATAGCCGGGGGGATGAAAAGTAAATGGATGACATCACAGGCTGTCCAACATTGTCTACGGCCTGTGAAAGTGCTTCCTGAAGATGTAACCATGCATAAAGGTTCACATAACTAAAATAGGAAGGTAATGGGGTTCAGCACCAGGCTGTAACTGTCATTTTACCACATTTTCATTTCTGCCCCCAAAACACCCTCTTCACCCCTTTTAGATCTTCAAACTTTTGTCAGAGCTGACGAGCCTGTTCTCCATGCAGGAACAGCAAGCCATAGAAACGGGTTTCATTTCATAACAGCGTTTTTTTTTGTTTTTTTACCACTAGTGCAGGGTAGAGTGGGCTTATCTAATTGTGGAAGCCATGAGCCCTGGGATACAGAGAAAGAGAAAGAGAGAAGCTAATTAGTTTGAAACGAATGCTTTGAAATTGAGCACAAAGCCCCCCGTGTGTGGTGGAAACAAACTTCATGCGTTTGGTGAAGGGGATTTTGTGTAATAGAAGTGAAGCGTGAATGATGAGTGAAGTGGGTGTTTCAGTGTGGAGAACTTGGCAGACTCAAAAAAAAAGTTTTTTTGTTGTTTAATAAAAAAGTCACTTGTTTATGTACAAGACAATCTCTCGGCTTTTGCCTGATTAATGGCTGATAGCCCACTGTTAGTCATATTCCCTTATAATTACATTTGTATTAGAATGCATTAGATGCAGGAATGAATTAATTTTTTTTTCATTTATTGAAAATTGAACTTTTCCCTGTCTCCACGGGAAATATTCAAACACAAGTCGTTCTAACCCACTACTGCAAAAGGAATCAGACATTTGAATCCTCCTCTAAGGTCATGAATAAATCCTTTAGATTGTGATGCAGACTTTTTGACCTTATTTGCAAACAAGCTAAGTTTTGCCCTCTGTCCGCCCCTTTGGATAAAAGAGGAAAGCTAACAAAGCAAAACAAAATACCCTTGTGTTGTCTCCAAGGCAAAAGTACCTCCATACTGTGACTGCTGTTGGCCGCCGGCCCTCTCCTTTTTTTACCTCCACGTTTGTGGCCATCTCTTGGAAGAGATATACAAGTTTTCTCAAGGACACTTTTCTTCTTTTTTTCCACTCCTGCTCCTTCTGTCTCCTCTGTGTATTTGAGGCATATTTAACATGCTGCATGTGGACTGAAGATTCAGGGAAATAATTTAACGGCGGACTCAGTGGGATCATCTGGAAGAATGGAATTACATTCCAGACGTGGTTCCCAGTGACTCTGAATTAACCTCCTGCTGGGATGGCGATTTTCCTCGAGCCATATCTCCCCGCAGTGTCTTATTTCCATCAGTGTTGGAGAATGTGATAAGATGGATTCATTTCAAATAGGTTTTAAATAGGATGTAGATAGAAAAAAAAAGTTAGTCATTGACTTGAGGATATATAGTTCACAAAGAAGTATTTAATGTTGCATAATTATCACACTTTTGTATTAAGGTGCTCTAGTTAAAGTATAATTAAGCAACAATTCTGTTTCACTGTTTGTAAACATTTTATGAAATTCTATGACCAGGCATTAGAGGTGCATTGATTGCAATTTTTGGGCTGATTCCGAACAGGTGTGACTTGTTACTGATTTTTCAATTGAGACCATTCACAAATAATAGTTTCCTACAGCCAAAATGTTTATTGTTATTGCAAGTAATTATGAAACCCACAAAATACACCCACTTCCAATATATATATATATATATATAGTATATAGTCATCAAAGTTGTCAAAAGTTGAGGCTAAACAACACACTACAAATGCAAATATATACATACATATAGCTATACATATACATAAATAAAATGTGTCTTTTGGTTGCTTTTGGACTCTGTCATACAATCTAAAGGTTGAAGAGTTCTGTTAGGCAACTGGACGTGAATTTTCTAAAAGAAGTACAACCTTAAATTCAGCTAAGCCAGTCCGTAGCTCCTCATTGCTCTTCAGAATCTACTGATCCATACAAAGTGTATTTGTGTGCCAAATAGTATGATGTGAGCACAGCATTAGTAAAATTACTCTCAAATGTCTATAAAACACCTTATTTAAAATAATGTTAGAAGCTAAAGGGCAATTCAGTGAGTTCTCATACCATACAGTAGTTACCACTTTGGCTTCATTAGATAGTATTAAAGTGGTGCTGACTCACTGTTAAAAAGTGGAATGGGTCCAAGAGGAATATGAAGATTATGGAGCGTCGTTCTTGAATTTTACTTCTACCTTTCCCGAGCGCAGTCTGGTGAAACAGCAGAACTTTACAAACTAATAGCATAAATAATCAGACTTTCACCCAATGTTAGACAATGTTGGCTACTGATGATTCCAGACTCAATAAAGCCGTCTGCAGCGTTGGTAATGAGTACATCTGGTCATCTGTTTGTTCTGCTAATTAATAATTCTGCCTTGTTCCACTTTAAATTCTACTACGTATCTAACTTTGGTTCCTATTCATTAACATTCATGCAGCACACATGTCCCTGCACAGTTTATTTACTCACACCAGTTTCTTGTAAAGCGGTGAAAGCAAACAAACTCCCTCAGCAAAATCTGTTACAATCGGAACTCCTTTGGTCCCAAAGGCCCATCTGCACATGCTTTCAGCCTCCAGCTTATCTGGGCTTGTGCACAGTCACCTATACTGACCTCCAATGGAGCGGTGAATTTTCACGGTCAGTTTTGTATGTGCTTCCTGAATAGTGTCCTTGAGCTGTTAGCAGTTTAGGGAGCACCAACTCATTTTTTGAATAATCATCATTTTAACATCAAAATGTGAGGCGTTTTTATGAAACAAATACAGTGACAGGTGGATGTGGTGCAGATTAATGATGATGAGGATGATGATGATGTCCAATGGTTAGGGTTAGAATTTGAATGGTGAGATCCCGTGAGCTGCTTGAAATATCAAGTATCTGTTTGGCAAACCATGGCTGTGTCAGCTTGGATATTGGGAATACCAAAGAGGAGCATCCCTGTTTGCCTCGTATTTTTCTTGTTTGTGCATTAGTGTATATCTAAATTTACAGCATCCGTTGTGCGTCAGTGAGAGGAAATCTTACTGCCCACAATGCAAGGCAATTTGGAACTAAAACAAAGGCCTTTCTTCACTTTCTGGCTCAATTAGGTTCTTTTCAGCTCCTCTTCGCTGATGAACTGTCTCCACAGGTATCTTCATGATACCTGCAGGTCTTGAAAACACATCACACTCTTTTGTTAGTGAGGGGTAAAAACAAATACTCAATCAGTCTGGAACTCTAACTGCGGCGGTGGGCAACCTATTTAATCAACCTTGCTGCCGTTGACTGCTGTTAAGCATTGAGCGCATTGACTGCTGATGCTCATGCGGTTTGTGTTATTACAGCCTCCGGGGGTCTGTGTGGTTCACAGACAGTGTTGCTCAGTTATGCTGTCTCTTCCCAACACTTGCAGCCTTACCATAGAGAGACATGCTGCCATTTCCAGTGGAGTCTCGCTGAACTGCCGAGTTTTTTCTAAAGCTCTTTCTCCAGCCGTGTAATGTCCATTACGTGTGACATCCCAAAATCACCCCTCATTAAATTCAGTTTGCTCCCCCTTCATGCAGAGATTGGGGCCATCTGTCACTTCTGTCATCGTGATTGTATCTCTGCATTAAACGGAAACTCTGCCTGTCCCAAATTATGTTTTTGCACGGGCCCAGCCTTGTGTGTCTGTCCCAAGTGCTCATGGGGGTTCATTTAAATTTTCTACAGCCAGCTGCCTTCTCTCAAACCACAATACTAATAAGTCCATTGTATATAAATATGGCATTATGGTACAATATTCCCCTGAAAAAAAAATGCAATGCAAATGGTGAAATAATAAATAGCAATATTTCTTCCGTGACAGTCCTCTGACCCTCTGAGGCCTCACATGCAGGATAGACCTGCAATTCAATGAATTTAGGGACCTTATTTTCCAATAATGGACACAAGAGGATGAGAATAAAGGCAGCAGAGTGGATAAGCATGGGTGGGTGATTGATGACAGGGTGGTGAAGGGCTGTATATGAGGTTTGGTGGAGAGAAATGGATTAATGCCGTTGTGTCAGTGTGTGTGGATGTTGGTGTTTTCACACCAACATTTGCCCACAGCTCCGGTAAATGGTTCAGTATAAAGCAACTCACCAAATGCCCCAGTTAGTTTCAAGCGACCCTGGAGTAGTATGAGCACACAACCTTTGGTTATTGGCTCCAAGAGAAATGGCCTTATCACCAGCTGCAGTCTGCACAACTGAAGAATCTACCTTTGTCTCTGTACTGGTGTGTCTGCTTCGCCCAGTGATGGCCTTCACATAATACATACTTATCCAAGTCACACTAGCAGGTTCAATCCATCCCCTTTGACTTGTCTTCTCTTTAAGTGACACTTAAGAGAAAAGATAGCTTGTTTCTCCCGGCTTTGGATTACAATGAATTCCTTTGTTGGACATATTTGAATTGTCACTGAAAAAAAATAAAGACTCTTTAGTTCAAACTCTGCATTTTGCCTTTTCTCCCCACCAGAAACTGCCTCCTCTGTGATGGTATACATGGACACAACAACCATAATGGCAAAGACCACCTCTCGACCTACTATAACTACCATGACCACCTCCACAGTGGCCAGGACTACTACAAAAATGCCTGCCACAACAGCTGCAGCGGCTCAGTGGCCAAGGCCGACATCAACTTTAGTCGCCCCAGCCCAGACCATAGTCCAGAGTTTGGTCCCGGAGGATGAAGACAAATCACCGCCTTCTTCCAGGCTTCCCAACATTAGAGTGGAATACTGCAATCCTCTTGTGATGATGGACATCTCCTGGTCAAAGACCAAACAGGGTGCAGTGGCCAAGATGGCTTGTCCTCCTGGGACCATAGGTAATGTATAAATACTCCTGTACATACTCATTTTTCTCAGACCTAGTCCAAGTCATCGAAAATATCAAAATGTCATCACAAATATAATGCAATTGAGGCGCGGTTCTGCAAAAGGTAAATCCCTTCTTTTCCACTTCCTATTCCTAATTTACTCCATTAAGCAGAAAATCTAAGTGACCTCCTAGATCAGTGGTTCTCCAACTTTTTCTGCTCTGTACCACCTGAGAAAACATTGAGCTCTCTGAATACCCCCATGATGACCAACATTAGAATATAGCATATATATATATGTATATATATATGAATTTTCCCCGCGTACCACTAGAGAGCGCTTGTACAAAAAAAAGAGAACCATCCTCCTAGATTATAAGGTTAATATTGTCTAAGTTCAAACACGGACAAAGTCTCAAAAATGATCACAAAAGGCTTTGATTCTGTGGACACTAGACTTTAAAAACATTTTAAAATGAGGAATAAGAGGTTTGAAGTCTGGTTAACTTTTCCAATGTGTGCCAACATTTCTGATGAATTATTCCCATTGACTCTACGATTGTCGGTCATAAAGGAAAATAACTGTAGTGCTTAGAACAAGATCCCCTACGAGCCTCTGCACAGACACCGTTCGTACGCCACTGTTTTCTGATTATGTTTATTTGCTGATGCACGTCCCATTTTGCAGTGGGTGAAGGGTAATCATAATGATGAATTATCATCCCAAACCTCAAACACTGTGTTTGTGCTATCTGAAAAACACCTATTGCTTTTGAAATGTATGTGATTTGTTTATTCCTTTAGGCTTTAAGTATTTCGGCAGTTTCATTATAAGATGCTGGTCCGCTGTGGTTCCCTTTGCATTTATGTGTTTTGTTTATGTTTGCACTCCCTCGGCGGAGTGCGTTCACTCGCCCCTCGTCCTTCCTCCTCATTCCTTTCCTTCCTGAATTACTGATGCACCTTAATGATAGCTTTGGATCTTTTGCGGAGGCTTGTGTCTCCTACGCCTTACGCTCAGATTTACTTCCAGTCTCTTATGATCACGTCTTTTCAATTAACTTGTAACGAAGAATACTTGTGACAGTAGTTTAAGCATGAAAACGAGACAAGAACACAAGAGGAACACAGAGATAAATTTAATGATGACTGCTTCAGATATTACGTCTCTGTGTTGATCTTTGGGAGCCATTGATATTGAAATGAGACCAGAAAACTAAGAATAGCTTTAATTTCTCTAAAGTGAATCCCTTAAGTAATAAAGATTGTGCTGCGTACTTGATATGAAAATAATAATAATTTAAAAAAAACAACAAACTAAATGTGAACTAGAAACCATTACCATGTAGGGGAGGCTGTAGCCTGAATAAGTCAACTCATTGGTGGAATTACACTATTATAAACTAATTAAGAGCAGCAATACATTTACAAAATGCAAAAGTTACAGTTGGTGTTTTATTTTATTTTTTTGTCGGAGGAGTCATTTTTGCTAGGAAGTGACATCATATCCTGAAATATGCCCTGGTGCCTGGGGGAAAGAATCTGTTAATTTCATCAGCCAGCATACTGTCTCAGACACACACATACACACACACATACACACACACATACAGTAGAAGCTTCATTAATGGGCAACACCAGCACCCACCGAGGCCTCACTAACAGGCGTCATATGGCAAGATAAGAGGATCACACACCCCACCTCCTCTTGGTGCAGGCTTCAAAGCTGCCGTTCTTCAGACGACACTGCCAAGCCCAACACGACTACGTGAGCTTCCTCTGCCACTCTTTGAAACTTCTTCGAGCTCCCCTTTCCATCTTTTCCTTCACTTCCCCTGCTGTCACAGCCCCCCTCACTTCCCCTCGTGCCCCATCCTGCTCCAACTCTTTCTCCGGCTCGCTTTCATGCTCCTTCTCCTGCCTCTCAATATAGACAGAAATGCAGAGTCCCTTATCTTATGAACCCATCAGCCATAAGGCTGTCCAAGGAGCAGTGTGGAAGGAAATTATATGTCAATCAAAATTTATATCTGTTAATGCTGCTCGTCTGGCCCTCAGTATAAGTACGGGCAAGGGCAATTTAATGTCAGCGTGAATCCCTGCTGGTGTCAGCTCTGGAAATACAGACATGACTGAGATTAGCAAAGAGAATTCTCTCAGTCTGACTTTCTAACTACTACTTTGAATAAAATACTTAGGTATAAACTAGGGTTGAACCAATACCATTTTTAACAGAGGATACCACTAACAATATTTTTATTTGTGTATTCACTGATGCTGAGTACTGTGTTGATACATACTTAGGTTGGGCCTCAAATATGCAGTAGAGTAAAAGGCAGTATATATTCAAATCGAAGGCATAGTATCCCAAATATCAGGCCAGATACATATACCTTTATTGGTATCAATGTGTCCTCTGAAATGTAGTTAATGCATACAAGCTTGAAGGAGAGTTAAATTCACTCTTGGTTCTATTTCAATTATCTTTAAACCACAGACTAAGGGCTACCCAAATCCCAATGGTATCTGTTATCTCATTTTTTCCTTGATGTGCCAGACTTCCTTAATTTTACCCTCTCAGAAATCATTTTCTTTGAAGCAGCAACAACACTTGCTAATTTGGTTGTGAGGGTTTAAAGTGCAGACACATTAAGCAGTGGTTTTTGTCCTTAGCTTACTGTCTTGTATTAACAGTAAATTGTGATGGACATCTACATCCACCAAACGTGTTCCTCATATACACAGAGATGCCCAAGCTAAAGAAACTGAAGGTTGAAGGAAGGTTATCATTCCTGTTAACCCAATAAATACCCGACATCATTTTCTTTTTTTGTGGTTTTTGTTTTAAGTTTTAACCAGCTTTGTTGGATACTCACATATCTCATCACATCTCTGACAGCAGAGGGCGACGGGACTAATTGACCTTTTGTGATGAATTCAGATATTACCAAATTAGCATCTATGTTGGTGTATTCACTTTCTCATGCACGGCCATGAAGTGTCACATTCACACACTCCCTGACTTTTAATGAGTAAATACACACACCGACTGCTGCAGTTTGACAAGAGCAACTTCACCCCAGTCAGAGAATGATTAAAAGAAGCTCTTATTAAGATTCCACTTAATTACCTCACTTAACAAATGTTTTCTTTAATCGCCACTCTTCATTTTGAAAAGAAAGATTCCTGATAAGCAGGAGACTTTTGTTGATGGATCTGACTACTTGTGTGGTTTGTCACCTACAGTAAAAAAAAAAAAGAGGAGAATGAAATGGTGGAGAGATGTGACAAAGACAAATTAAGCAGTTGATTTTCAGGAATACAAAAGTTAACTTGTGGTAAAGTTAATTAGTTTGAAATTATTCTCAGTTAATTATGCTTATTAACAACAATATTTATAACACATGATTAATTGAGACTATTAATTGAATTGGCAGCAAACCTGTGATTAGTTAAATAAAAAAGTTTTCCAGTAATAGCACCAGTTTGTTGTCTAACATTGTTGTATTTTTTTTCTTCGTTCTCTCCAGGCACAGCCTTGTATATGTGCATGGGTCCAGAGGGATACTGGGACCCACAGGGACCTGACCTCAGCAACTGTACCTCCCCGTGGGTCAACCTCATCAGCCAGAAGGTACCGATCACACACACAGGAGGAGAGGGAAACACGTTTGGTTCTGCTCTGTTTGGCCAAGTCATTTTGAAGAATATGCAGGGGAAAAAATGCTGGGATTTAATTAAAATGTTAATTAGAATGTTAAAAATCCAAAACAGACCTGTGCTCTTTTAGAAGATCCTAAACAACATTTAGCAAATTTAAATTAAAAGAGGGAAGAATATATGGTCTGCATTTAGATGCCACATGTTTTGGTGGGTTTTTTTTTTTCTCTTTTGTTTTTGCCCTTTGTCTCTTTTTATCGGTCAATTAATGTCATTGATTACTGCAAGGCTTTACTTTGTGTTTGTTTGTTTGTGTGTGTGGTAAGACTAGTTTAAAGACTAGAGTTTAAAAGAGTGTTGTGGCTAACTGCTAATCCAAGGCACTCTGTGTCCTACCACATGATCCACATTGTTTAAATCTACACTGTAATCAAATTTAAAAGGAGGGAAGTTGCTGCAGAGCAGAGGATTGAGATCTACAGGTTATGAATTGCAGGTAATGTGGAAAATGTTCTCTTTTAGACTCATAGGACCCTGAGGCATCATGCTATAACACTTATGATCTACTCCATGGCGTAAAGCTGTGGCCATTAAACAAATGGCAGATTGCAGAGATGGCTGTAAAAAGGCTGTTGGCGAATGAGATGGAAGGCAGGGAAATTGTCAGGTGGATTTCTGAGCCGTGCGGCTTAATTTGATCCATGCATCAGAACTAGGCTGTTAAAAAAAAAACAAAAAAAAAAACTTGCAAAACTGCAGTTTGTACTGTAGCAGATTTTTGGCTTCTGGTGTTTAAGGCATTGGAATGAAAAGAAATGCATTTAAAATATTGTTTAAATTTAACAATATTTGAGCAGCATGGTATGAAGGCGTTAAGGCCCATCTGTCCGTGCATCTCAGATCCAGAGCCTCTGTCCTCGTGCCTCATTAGCAGATGCTTTGATAGACAATTGAAAGAAGTGACATCAAATAAGCTGAGAAACAAGTCGCCATGGTTACTGTACCCCAGTATTTAACACATCTCTTTGTCGAGACAAGAGCAGCACTGGGAAACAATTCTTTCACGTTTATTTTTCCCCACATACACCTCTGTAAACAACTGTTTAAGCTGCATAATTAGCCTCATTAATTTAAAAAGATTAGCTGTTAATGCCACAGTAATCGCACGCCATACTTCGTGATTTCATTTCTTCCTGGGGTCAATGTTGACTTTCAGCCCTGCGTGACATCAATTAATGGTTTTATTAGTGTTTCCATAATACAGCAATGTTGTTGGTTCATTCACAGTTCATTGAAGGTACTTTTTGTCCGATTAATGGTTTTGTTTTAACTGACAAAAAAGTCCAAAAACTGCACAGAAAACATTTACTTCTTCTCTTATGTTAAATTAAGACACTTTGTTTAAATTTGTGGTGAGTAAAAGCCCGGAAATTAAGGGGAACATTTGACAACGAGGGACTCCTCACATTATTAGCACCCTGCTTGGTACAGAGCCACACTGTAATTTAAATATAGAAGTGTTTTTAGGAGATGAAAAAAAGATGTGAGAAAATGTTTTCAGGTTTTTGTTTGAGTCTCATTAGCTATTAAAAATGACTACAGAGGTCACAAGTTAAATATCAGGAAGTTTCTTTAAAGTTTCTTTTTTAAACAGGAGAGACTTTCATCACCAGTTTTAAGCAAAACTAAATAAATATTCTCCATAGTTACTGTTGCTAAGTGGATTTTCTAAAACCTAGAGAGAGGGTCAAACGTAAAGAGTTTCATAAAAAAGTCTCAGAACACGTCCAAAAACCACACCACCTGAAAGCACCTTGGACATCATCCACACACTAGCTGTTAAATTTAGAAAAAGAAGCCTATTTTCTCCCCATAAAAGTTAGAAATAGAGTTTTATTTTTGAAATGGACTGCCTACTGTGGCCCAGCGGTGGCTGTTGTTCTGTGGCAGGCTCCTTTGTACAGAGCCTAGCAGGACAGTTTCTCCCAACTACACATGGAATTGCCTCAAGGGTCAGGAAAAATATTCTGACTGTGTCCACCGTGTCTTTAGGAGATACTGGGGACTGACTTCCTGGCTGGAAGAGGGCAGGTCAAACAAAGTGTCACTGTGTCTCCTGGTGAGATGACAAAGTTTATGCAGGAGATTTTTTTTCATGAACTGCTGATGGAGATAACTCACTTTTTTAAGTATCTGCAATAGTTGTTTGGATGACTTCATCATCCAATAACTGGTCCAGGGGCCAACTGCAGCTCGTGGAATGGCTTAGGTAGGACATGGCCTTGGACATAATTATTGAAATAATGTTTCACAGTCTTTTTCTTCACATATAAAGTCTAGTTTGAAAAATCTCCAGATATAATTTATCTATTTTTGGCAAACATTTAAGCACCATGTGTAGTTAACTGTCGTCGTGGCTCGTTTAGTGACCCCCTGAGGGAAATTGTTAGCATTACAAGACACTCCTGGATGACACTGGGAAAATGGGAGAGGTAACTTAGATTAAAATAGAAATAGAACAAAGTACAAAGTAAAACACACCGTAGTATACACAGTGTTCTTGTGATATTGCAATACTGGATTACAGTTTACTCTTTAGTAGTTCCTAAATTACTAAATTAGGAAATTTAGTGGAATGATTTCCTGTGTTTCTCTCTTGTGCAAAGTGCTAAAAATTCGGAGTCAGTTACTGAATGTGCTGCTGTGAGTGACAGCAGGTTGTGGAGAGTCAAATATTGTCCTTATTCTTGACAAAGATCTCCTCTCCAACACCCTACTCGAGACACCAACTCCTCACCCACAACCTGGCTGGCCTTCCTGATCAGTGTAGAGAGTCTAGTGCTGAGTCCTTGGCCTTTAGGCTGCTGCCCCAGCTGACCACAGCATACACGATGGCACTGGTCATCACACACTCAAAAAACACTCTCATCATCATGTTGTCAACGTTGCCAAACACCCCCAGGTACTTGTTGTCCTCAACTATGTCCATACTGATCTCCTGGATGTTGACAGGGGTCACTGGTGTCTTGATCCACCTCAAGCCCAACACCAACTTTTCAGCCTTCATCACATTGTGCTGTAGGTGGTGACAATGTTATCATCTGCTGTCCTGTATTCTCTCTCATCACCACTAGTGTTACATGCTACTGCAGCTCAGTCAGCAGAAAACTGCTGAAGGTGACAGGTCTCAGAACTTAAGCTCAAGTGTTTGGTGTGGAGAGAAAACAGTGCCCTGTGGAGCCCCAGTGTTGCTGCAATCAGATGTGTCACAGCGCTGTATGTCAGACACAGGGTAATTGGTTATTAGATTGAGATATTAGCGATTGTCGGCTGGGTTTTTTTTTTTTTTTTTGTCTATTATCTTCAGTCTGTTTTAGATTTGGTCCCAACAACCTATAGATTTGACTGATTGTGTACCTTCTCAACTCAGGTCTCTTCTTTCTTAAGTTCAAGCCTTTGTCTTGGCTACATTGTGTCTATTTAAGGCCTGATATTTATATTTTGTTTTCTTCATCTTGGGGCAGTGGTGGCTTAGTGGTTAAGGAAGCAGACTTGGGTTCGGAAGGCTTGAGGTTTGAGTCTACCAGCTGCCAAGTTACCACTGAGGTGCTCTGAGCAAGGCACCGTCCCCACACACTGTTCCCCGGGCCTTTAAAGCTGCCTCACTGGTGATGGGTTAAAAACACTTTAAAGCTGCCTCACTAGTGATGGGTTAAAATGAGAGGTCACATTTGGTTGTGTGCAGTGGTGTGCTGTATCACAATGACAAGGAGTTCACTTTCACTTTCTGTTATGTATTCTAGTTATATTTTAAATCAAAAGCCCTGATTTTTTTTTTTTCCCTAGTTATATTTTAAAACACAAGCCCTGATTTTTTTTTTCATGTAGTTTAAAGATTTGTTGATAAAGTGGTTGACTCTGTTAACTCTTCTCTGGGCTTGAACATTGCGGATGTTTAACTCCATTTCAAAAAGCAAATGAAGACTCTGTCAGAAAGTCAGAGATTGGGAAATAATTAGAAGTGATCATGTTTTTTAACCAAATGTAGAGATGGATGACAAAAAAGGAAAATATCAAACCAGCCTCTGAATGAACAAACAAATGAACACCAGAGAGCGTCTGTCCTCCGTGTACACAAACATACACACACTTTCCCTCATGCTGCACTGCTCTCCATTAGTTTCATAAAGGTCTAAGGCTACCAGGGGAAATTCCCTCAATAGCTGATTTTATAATTGCTTCCGGGTACGATATTGGCCCCAGTGTACAGTCAGCAAAATCTCAGCGCATTAATTGTGTGCAATATAGCAGCACAGAAGGAAAATGTATAATGTGGAGTAAATAGTTTTTTTGTGATGAGCACAATTTTTCACATTTCAGCCTCAGATATTAAGACTTTACACAAAATTCAGCTTTGATTGGATAGAGCCATCTGAGGAGAAATTGTGTGAAATGAAAAACAGTTGCGATGCATTCAGGACATCTTTGTAGGAATGCTCCTCAGGCTTAGAAGAACCTCAGATAGAACCAGAACCCTTCTGTTCATATCCAAATGTTTTTATGAATTTTTAATCTACAGATAAAAGTCGGGGAGACTGCAGCAGTCATTGCCAGAGAGCTGGCGGAGCAAACTAAGAGTAATCTTCAGGGTGGAGACATCACCTACACTGTGAAGGCCATGGTTCAGCTGGTGGATCTCCTGGACGTGCAGCTGAGGAATCTGACTCCAGGCGGCAAAGACAGCGCAGCTCGAAGCCTCAACAAGGTAAATTAAAAACAATTTATAGTTGATGAACCTGAATGAGTCCATTTATTTCACACTAGTCAAGTGACATCACACTCAGGTCAGTGTTTTCATCACTAAAGAAGAAGCAAGAAAAAAATGATTAATCAGCTTTTCTGCACTGTGGTGTCAGGTCTAACTGTGACGCCCCTACTTAAAAACGACCTCCTCTCATCAGTATCTAAAAGCAATCTATCAGGTTTACTTCAATGGAAAAACGACCTCATCAGTATCTCAAAGCAATCTATCAGGTTTACTTCAATGTAATATGAGCGACACATCGACAGTGTACACACCACACTTATGAGTATCTGGAGGGTAAAATAATACTTTATGTCTGTGTAGCACACCAGAAGAAAGGGGGAAAAACATCAATGAAATTTCAAATGCCAGTTTTTTAATTTGCTGGAGCAGCTTCACTCACAGACGAGGCCCAACACCTGTTCCGCCATCACATTTGAAGAGTGTTTTTTTATGTCATTGCCACAGCAAACACAGATGTCCCCATTGAGATTTTAGTACCAGTTTTCTCCAGTAAAGATGGGAGGCTGTAAAGATGGCCGAAAGGCCTCTGAAGGGAGTGGGACGTGTAAAATCACACCGAGGACCGAGGTTTATAATGGCTGCAGCATTCTGGGTAAATTTAGGAACAGTATGTCATCAGTAGAGGAAAATTCTAAAACAGAGGTGAATAAAACCAACTGAAATTCACGGTTGACATTTCTGTGGTATTGCTTTAATACAGTGTTTATTCCTTGAGTTCAAATTAAATGATTCCTCCAATGGAGAAATCCAACACTCCATTCCTGCAAACAATAAAAGAATTGAAAAGGCAGACGACAAGAGCGATGCCGTTTGCATGATCAAAGTGTAGCTGGCTACTGGCACACACGGGACAGTTTCCAGAAGACTGGGCTGGAGGCTCCTTTATGGAGAAATGGTTCTTCATGGAGCTAATCTGCTCGGGATTTAGCACGGTACCAGAACCTCGCCGCTAATCCACACATTCCGAAGCTCCATTGGCAACAGTGGTTGATTCAGAAAGTGACTTTACTATCCATGGTTGACTGGAACACTGTGTTCATTTTTTTCAAAATCTCCAAAGTAGTTCCGATGGCTTAAAAATAATTGTGTCTTAACAATGTTTATCTTAAATATGTTTCTTTCAGATATTGTCAAATTCATGTGTTACTTTTGCAGATCTGTATTATGTAAATATATACCTAGCTTTTACTTTAGCTTTCAATTACCTTTTCACACCTCTGGGGAACTTGTACTTACCCCGGATTTTCCTTCCAGTCAAATGGCTGGAGTTGACCTTTTGCTAACTATTGCATTCTTCTCTGGGTTGCAGCTGCAGAAAAGGGAGCGCTCCTGCCGCTTTTATGTTCAGGTATTTGGAATGTAACCTTCCTCATAGCGCCACCACTGTCACTCTCAGTTCTTTAACATGCAATGTGAAGTTTGACCTTTTGAGGCTAAGTAAACGAGTGTGGAATCCACACACAGAAACATTGAGCATATTAAATTCACCACACCATGCTGTAATGTCGGTGGTGATGTCTGTGTTTCATCAAATGGTCAAATTTCATTAAAATCATTTATAACATTGCATCCAAGCAAACACCAACGGACTCAACTCCGAAGCTGGATGTCACATCCCATGGTTTTTCCCTGCATGGATGTGTTATGATGTTCCCCTTGTTTTCTTCTCCATGTGGTTTGGCTTTTTTTTTTTTTTTTTTTTTTTGGAATGGCATTTACGTCTGTATATCCACTGTGGATTTCCAAAGTGTCTCCATTATCCTAAACAAAATTCCCCAAACTGTCTGCATCAGCACCCTGAAATAACCCACAGATGTGTCATCATCAGTCAAAATAAAGCCGTCGCACCATTCTACTCTTCCCAGCCTGAAGGAGTGACCTCATTACACCGCTAACTTCTAACCACCAGTGAAGGCAGCCAAAGTTGGCTTGCTACCATTCTCCCCCACTAATGCATAATACATATGTGCCCTAATTTGAGTGTGTCTCTAATGCTGCGCTCGAGTCATTTCTGGGTTACTGAATGTTTTTTTTGGTAATCCCTGCCGTGACATTTCAGCTGTCATCAGAATCATTTATACCTTGACAAGAGAACTCCATCTGAAGTCAACGTCCTTTCTGGCTCCGTGTGCTCTGCAGAGAGGCTACACGTCAGATCCAGATGTTATGTTATATGTACGCTCTGCGGCGCCCATGTTCAGCAACATGCAGTTTGTGTTAATGCCTCCGAGGCATGTCAGGGAAGCACATAGTCGACTCATTATCCAAATGACAACTGAGTGGAATGTGTGGCATCAGTGCAGTGTTCTCGCATGAGCAGATGGGACGTAGTCTGAATTTCCTTTCCATCTAAACAAACACACCACTGTAGAAAAGACCATCATCCAACTGTCAGTTGTCTTAGCAGCCAAAGCCTGAAATGACTCATTCTTCAATGAGTACTTTGGCTTACATACCCTCTCAGAACAATAAACACAGAACTATTTGGAGCGTGCACGTCCTGTTTGCTGCATACCCCTCAAAATAGGCTTGTTTATTTTTTTTAACGCTTTAGAGAATTTCTTAAAATTATGTGCCTTCGCAAAATCGTTTTTATAATAATATGTAAAAAATGAAAGGATGAACCGAAGAAGGAAAACATGCACCAGAGGATTCTGGGATGCACCAATGCTGTTGGTTTCGCTCTTTCCACCGGAGTTAAAAATAGAGCGAGACTAACCTTATCATTTTAGCTGCTGACAGTCTGGAAATCGTAAGGTGCAGTTAATGCTGCGTATCTCTTCATGGCTAAAGCAGAGGGAATAACATGTGGTACCATCAGCATTGTTCACATCTGTCCACATGTGTTTCCTGACTTCACCTGCAGGCTCCTTGTTCCCTAAGTGTTGTTAATATGTTGAGAGAGCGCACACAGCTGCTCAGCCGTGCCCTTCCTCCGCCGTTCTCCCCCCCCTCTCTCTCTCTTGTGCTTGGATGACAAATTCAAACAATGCTGAAATGCTTTCACTTGACAAAGCGGAATAATGCAGGAGCATCTGTGGCCTCAGGTACAGACAGGCATTGGCTGCACGCGCTGACAGCCTTTGAGGGATTATCATTGATTAAAGAGGAACGGGCAGTGTTTTCTCCAGCGCAGTATAGGTGCGATTAACAGAGGAATAAAGAGCCAATAAGAATCACACCTGCCTGTGCTGCACCTCGGTGGTCCATGTGTGATGTTGGGTCTGATGAGGACTGATCACATTTCCTGCCTGTGAGCTTCCATGGTGGTACTTGAGCGTTAGTTGGCTTCTGCATCTTCTTCTTTAGGTGATTGGTTTGGCTTGTTGGAGGGTCAGACTCACTTTAAAACACAGGACAACAGGTCTTCATTGGTTGTTGCAGATTCACACACATTGGAACTTTGACTGTGACCTCAGGCTGCATTGTATCTCTAATTTGGCCACTATCTATCTTTTAATGAGATTTCTTTTGTTTACATAAATTTAGAATTTTTAAATATAGTTGAGTAAGTTAGTTCTTCACTGACCACAGAGGTCATTGAGGAGTTGGGGAACGAGGTAATATTTACATTACAAAATCCAAAAGGTTAGGCCTAAATTCCCTTCTTGGAATTGACCATATAGATGGTTGCCCAGGGCCCAATCTGCCGAAAGGTGCAATTAAATCACCCATAAGGAAAAATCAAAACACAATTACATGTGGAGCACATGGGGCCATAAGCTCAATTAGTTCCCCAAAATGTCCAGAATCAACTTTTGTTGGACTACATGATGATGAAATGGTTTGTGTACTTGCCATAATCAAGAAAATTCATTAAACCTTGTTGTTTATTTCTGTGGCCCTGTGATGGACTGGTGACCTTTCCAGGATGTACCCCCACATGGCTTTATCACTGTCTGGAATGGCTTCACTTTAAAGATAAAATAAGTTTCATTTTCTAATAGTGTCAGGATATGGTTGAGAATTAATTTAGCTGTGAATTTGGCATTCATTAGTTTGTTACAGCTTCATTACCATATGACTTAAGGTCTGAGTATCTCTCTGTTACACTGAGATCCATTGGTCCACATTGGGCCACAGTGAGATTAAAGATGAACTTTTACAAAACAAAATGTCATTGTTGACAATTAAGTAGAAAAGTCTGATACAGTCGATGTAGAAAATGATAAAATAAGACAAGATAATTTCATCTGTCAACACATTCAGAAATATATATGAAATTGATATTGTAAATTTTAAATATACTTCTCAGAGGCTTTACAAAGTCCTTGGTGTGTTAAATACTTTCTGATCATCTTACTTTAACTTTTGAACATGTTTTTAAACTTTTATTAACATGGAAATCTCCTTTATGTCTTAGCCAATTTATTTCCACTGGGCCAGACTTGGCCTTGACAGAAGTACGAATCATATAATAATCAACTTTCCTTTATTCTGAAATGTCCCTGTGGGAATTGTTTCTGTCGTGCCTCTTGGTCAAATTAGCTCCAGCTTTTATTCTAGGCAGTGACATTACTGTGGTCCAATTACTGTGATTACTTCTGTACATGTTACAGAAAGTCAAAGTCAAACACGCTACCACTGAATCAGCTGTTTCCCTTTGGCACTCTTTAGCTGAACTAACTTGGATTTGTCTTAAATTAAGCCCGACTTCAACACGCTACAGCTCCAAATAATGTCCTGTATCTCAGTAAAGACCAAGTGTGTGTGAATGTGTAGAGAGTAGGGAGGACGCCGACCCCTCATTAAAATGACAACTTCACATGCAAAGATGTGAGGGGGAGTATCAGAGCGTCAGATGACCTCAGAGCAGGAGGAACACAGGGAGGTTCCTGGTTCAGGACCCGAACGAGACAATGCAAAGTCCCTGCTAGTCAAAATGTTGGAAGATGAAGAGGAGCACATCTTCATAACCAGGGAGCTGCTCCTCTGGTCAGCTGCTCTGCTCCAGTTATCTCTGAGAGCTGCCTCTGCTTAAAAGCAGTTTAAAGGCAATGCCAGCAACTAGCAGCCCTGTTTGCATGCCACTGTGTCCATGGGTGGGACAGTAAATGCCAAATTGCATGTATTACCAGTGATCATTGGATTCCAAAATAAATGTATCTTTCCAGGAACCATTTTGTGGAAAGTTTCCCCTCTTCTCTGAACAGTACTTTGGTTCTTTTGTTTTGGTGACAAATGAAATAATATTCAGGGCTACAACATAGTCTTAATTAGACTTTTTATACCCAGTTATTACACCCAAACAGTTATGACTGTGTGAAAGGGTGAGTGGTCAGAATGTGACCTATACCATTTTTTAATCTTTTTGAAGTTATTTTCATAGAAACTATCCTGAGGATTATCCACTGTAGACAAAGCAATAAAAGGAACATTAATGTACTAATCTATGCCTGCATATTTTCTAATATGCAGGTACGCAGTTCAATTGATGCATTCATCAATCAAACCCAATCCTGCTAAATATATGCTGAACTTCAAGTCAAAAAGCTTTAGCTGTCGAGTCAAACTATATTTTCAGGAAGCTCAGCAGCTGTAATTATGCTTCATGTGCTTTATGCCTGAAGATTACTGCCACAGCTAACAGCGGGAAATCAAAAACGAAAACAGAAAGTGTTCTTAAAAAGTAATCCAATATTACATTCTCCAAAAGCTGTAGAGTTTTCCTCTACAAAGGCCCAGCTCTCTCTCCCCAGTTGTGGCAGGCAGCTGTGGGAGAAGATGTACAGTAGTGAGATGAAACGTAAGACATAAGACAAGAGGCACAAAGGTAATCCCTCAGTAACTCACACGGAGCACACCGACACGACCTCCTGCTCTGAGGTTCCCATGAAATATTAAGCAAAGAAAGTTGCAGGACTCTGAAAGAAGACGGCTGATTTGGTTAGCAGCTGAAAATGAAACTGGGCAAAAAGACAGGAAGAAGTGATGCAAGAGGTAGAAGAAGACTGCAGGAGCAAGACAGCCCACCCTGTTGGTGTTGTCAATATAGGTGTGTGTGTTTGTGTCTATAGGTTTGTCTTTGGGTTGCCAGACATTATCTTTGTAGTTCAATTTCAGTTTTTATGAAAACATTATTTTTTATCATTAACTAAATCACTAATTTCATAAATAAAGCCAGTACTAATATATTTGTATTTTACGGAGCCCGTGAGAGATCAAAGCAATATCTTTGTGGGCATCAAGAAAACGTGCTTCATTTTTTAAAACCATGCTCTCATTTTAATAAATAGCACAGTCGTTTGTGTAGAGCATGTGCTAATTTGATTGGATCGTGCCTTTGTTTCTCTAAAATATGCTCTTGTTATATATTATTATGCCTAAAACTCCAGTTGATAAAAATGTGAGCACGTCTGTATCAAATGTGCACTCGTTTTTATTAAATCTACTCTCAATTTAACAGCAACAGTGTTCTCTTTGAATTATCGGTTTAATCTAACATTATATGAATCGCGTCACAATTTTAAGCACAACTTAGTTAAACTCTAGATTTTGAATGACATTAGCACGTTTTATTGATTGTGGCCATATATTCACTAAAAAAAAAAATCACTTGAGCTTTCCAGAGCCCTGTAGCATTTACGTTTCTGCAAGGAAATGTAGAGGTTTTTGTTAAAAAAAAAGACATTAAGCTTTTGTACTGCTGTTTTTCTTTTTTACATGAAGTTCCAAGATAAACTTGCTGCTTTTTATTTTACGCTATGTTAACCCACCGCAGCTTAGTTACCTGAACGTGCAGTGCTTTTTATTTCTTTTCCTTTCCTTTCTTGTCTTTGAGTCACAGAGTGAGTTATAGCTCCTTGTTGGAGTTTCCATTTAAAATAAAAAGCTAAAGCTTTAGTCGCGTAGAGGTATTTAAAACGCATGAGTGCGATTGAACTCTAGTCGAGGGGTTCAGCTAAAACTTCTGTCAACACTAGCCGTCCTCATGTGTGTTCCTGGCTTTTCTATGTGCACTCGCTGCCACTTGGATCGACCCAAAGCCATTCCACATCCATCAAATCCTGTAAAATAGCTTTTTTCCCCTCTTACTGAATGGAGTCAAAGTTTTGGATCCAACATGTTATGGCTGTGGTTGTGAAAAATGTTTAAAATTAATCTTTGTCATTTACTGCTGTTTCCTTTTTTTACATGAGCGGGAAAGAAGGATGTGTGTATATTATCCCAGATGACAGCAGTATTTCTTCTGACAGAGTGATTTTATGAATGTTGTCACATAAATACAGAGCTTCAGCACATGTTCATCCTGCCTACCTTGCAGTTTCAGAGGAAATACATACTGAGCAAATGTTTTTTGGCAAAAGAAAGCAAATGTGTTTTTAGAACCATTCAAAATTTTTTAAAAACATTCTTGGTTCTTTTTTTTTCTTTTTTCTTTTTTAATTGGCCCACGTTTGCTAGATCCGATTCAGTTTGAAAGAAATGAGAATTGAGGCCTTTGAAGGACATCCATGTGGGATGTTAAAAAATATTAAACCATCAAGTCTCATAGAGAAAAGATAATGTGAAGGACTTTACACTGCTGTCTTTGATGATTGATATATGAAAAAAAAAAAGAACTGCAGTACTGGACAGGTATATAATTTCTTTCCCCCTCTTAGAATGTATTATTATAATAATACTGATACTGCTATAATATTCATATATTACTTTTTCTTGTTCAGTTATTTACAGTTTTATGACCATTTTCCTGTTTCCAGAAATGATCTTTGTTTGATTTCTTAACATTTTCAGTATGTTCACATGGCGAGAAAGCAATAATATATACTTATTTACATATATAAAGTGGTAACAGATACATTGTATAGATCCTTGAATAAATGAACAAACCATTATAAACTGTTACTGAAGTTCAAATGTATGTTTTATAATTGTGGATGTTGCTTGAATGTTTTAGCTTTGTTAAACCAAACTATCAGACATTTACAGACATGTGGCTCTGAAGCAGTAACTAAGGCTTTTAAAAGCAAAATTCAACCAAATGTTTCGCCCCTTTTTTGTGTAGTCCTATTTGTTAAGAGAAAATATGCAGAATGTGGAAAAACAACCAGAAGGAACTAATTTGTTAAACATTTTCAAATTCATTGTTGTAGGGATTTTTTTTCGCTTTTTTAAATATTACTTTTGAACTCTTTTCTTTCTTTTTCAACCTTTTTACCTTCATTCATTTGCGCACTAAAACGTTATAATTCTGAAGTAATATACTATATGTTCATGTCAGTTTAATTTTAAAGGTTAAGAAAGAAATAACTATTCAAACTTGATTGGGCTATAAATGCACACCTGTTCATTATTGGATGGAGCACCATCAACACCTGTTGAAATACTTCAAATTTTCACAGGTTTTTCCTTGAGACGTTACAAAGATACAGTGAAAGAACTCGTCAAAACTGCTGGAGACGCGTGAGAGAAGTGTGGTAACACCTTGTGGAACTACACCTGTTTTGGAATTGTTTGACATACTCCAATATTCAGTGTAGTTAAAAATGAATCTTCCTCTGTAATTTTCCAGAACAGGAAAAAACACCCCTTAATTGAAAGTGAATTACCCAAGATTCTACACTGACCCATGTGCATGTGTGTCAGTGTTGCTACGTAGTGTATCCATGTATCTCACAGCTTGTGTGTGTAACATATGTTGCACGTAGGGTGACATCCGAGTATGGCAGCTGTGCATCTTTTATATGGACACCAATTCATTTGATACACTCCAACCTAAGGTTTCTCTCACCGCCTTTGTCTAACCTGTCAGGCTACATCGAGTCACACTTGGAAACTTTTCTTCCTTGTAATAATCAGATGATCAAGAGGAAGATCTTAGAGGTTCAGAGCATTTTTGAGTCACAAAACCTCGTGCCTTCACACCTAATCCTTGCCTTTACCTTCAGGACAGCACGACTTCCCAGCATGGCTTTTGAAAAAGCTCTAAAAAAGCCCTCTATGCAGGATTTCTGCTCACACCCTGGAGTGTCGCTATTATTAGAAATCCAGGAAATTTCTTCTGTGCTTGGCGTTGACCACCTACTGCACAGTAATGGCTCAGATACAGCTTCCTTCCAAGGGCACTCAGGCTCATTTCTGTCTTTGTAGCAGTGGTACTGGGAACGAATGGCATCGCTTGATCAATTAGCATCCCATGCATAAATCTTGCCATTGGCATTTTTAAATCTTTAATGGCTCTTAATTTTTCATCTGTTCTCCAGAACGTTCCTGTTTCTCTCGTGCTTACCGACTCCAGCATTGTTGTAATAAGAGATTAAAGAAGGCATAATGTTGTTCAATGTCATTAATATGCAGAAAAGAGTTCAGCTGAGCGGTTGTGGATGGCTGCTACCAGCCTGTATCTACGTGTAGTGAGAGCATGGTGGCATTGTGTCGTCTGCCTGTGTGTATTGGGATTGCCTTCATGGAAGAACATTCATCATGCCAATTACAGGCTCTCGCCTGGGGTCATGTTAGACCAGGCCTGTAGTCTTCTATGTATTGGCTCTGATTCATTTACATGATTAATTTGTCCTGTAGACAAAAAGGGAAACAGCAACAAAAACAAGCTAACATGATATCCAGTGTCCTGGCTGCGTTCTACTATTGTTGATGATTCATGTCCAAATGCATAACAAGATGGTGAAATTGCTGTGTAAACAGCTGCAGTATTTCTGTCCTTATTTCAAATGGAAATATTGAGTCCCTGTTCTTGCTCTCCTTTGCACAATCCCATCCATATTTTTGTTTATGTTTTTGAACTTGGTTTGACCCCCCCTTCATTCACACACACATTCATTCATTTCCAAATCACCATGCAAACAAATCCAACCATTCACAGGCCATCTTTTCACTGGATCGTCTTTTTTCTGATCCCTCAGGCTATGGTGGAGACAGTGAACAATTTGCTGCAACCGCAGGCCCAGGCAGCATGGAGGGAGCTGAGCACAGGTGATCAACTGAGAGCTGCCACCATGCTGCTGGACACGGTGGAGCAGGGGGCCTTTGTCCTCGCCGACAACCTGCTGAAGACGGATATCGTTCAAGAGAACACAGAGAACATCCGTGAGTATAAGCTTGAGAAAAACTTGAACTTTACATGACATTTAGACTCGTAGCTGTTCCACACCTCTGCTATTTTCCCATCGCATTACTGTATATTCACATTTCCATGTTGTTTTCAATGTCAAACAGACCATGACTAATAGAAGCAGCAGTCTTAATAATATCTGAATAAGAGGCTAAAACTTACTTTTTCTTTTCATCATCCTGCTACTTTCTTATTTTATTATTTTGTTGGTTTTTTAACTACAATTTGAGCCTTGTGGCTCAAAATTAATTGTATGTTTATTGTGAATTTTGGTGTGTTTTAAAAGGGCTAAAATTGTTAAGTGGATTTCAAAATAAAATATTAAAAGTTGCCTAAAAAAATTAAAAGCGAAATTGTCTGCAACAAAGTTAAAATGATATACAATCTATGATATCATATCAAGAAATTAGCAAATTAATGGAGACCTGTTTTTTTCTCTGAAGAGCTACAGTAAAGACTAACCAAAGGACTAGCACTTTTTTAAAATTTTGTAGTTTTACATAAATCTAAAGTTTACCTAAACTGAACTGAACTAAAGTTTGACAACAAAGAACTTAACTTTGCTCACAAAGTGGCTAAGATGCTCGTAATACAGCAGAGATAGCCTAAATATTAGCCCCGAGGTAGCTACACTCACTTTGTTTCCTAAATTGTTACTTACTGTGGTTAGTAAATTCAAATGTGAAGACAATTGGCTTAATATATGAGTTAACATGAAACTATTAACATGTGTTTTTATAATAATGATGATTCTTTGGTCTTTTGGTTGCTTGTGTTCATCGCGTATGATTGGCAGCTTAATCCCAGACTGACCTTGTAAGATTCAATAGCTAAAGGTTAGCCAGCATTGTAGCTTAAAAAGACTTTGAAAGTGCTGTAGGTTGTCAACACATCCAAAAGACGGCCTCTCCCTGCTTTTAAGTGAGATGCATTTGCTGTGAAGCCTATTAAGAAAGTGATGAGTAAGAGCAGTTTTTATGCTCAATGCATTACAAGCAGCTCGCTGCAGCAAAAGAACAAAGACGAGCGGTTGGTCCAATCTGATCCACTCCATCAGATCGATATATTTAGGGCTGATACCGATGAAGCAGATCTGTGTATCTGTGCCGTCTCTAATTGAGTGCTCTCTGTCTTTAAGCTGCTGTATTCAGGCTCTGCATGGTAACACGTTATGTCAGACTGAATGTGAGGAGGTGAGATATTTTGATGTGAAGTGTTTCATTTTCAATGCCGTCCATTGTAGTGGCGTCACAGAGACCGTAGTGTTAAACCAAGGTGCTGCCAGCACAGCGTCAGCACAGCACATCAGCTTCTCTTTCAAGTGCAAAGGTCACTGGTTTGACGCCTCACATCCTCATAGGGGACTGGCTGTAATGCTAAGGGCTGATGTGAGTTAGCTCTAATTGACTACAGCGGTAAATTATTTATTAAATATTTCTGTCGAATTTGACATGGAGGTGGCGCTAATGGTGAAAGAACAGAAGCTTTGCCAAGTTAAGCTCTAAACATTGCGCATTAGAGCTAATTTATGTCACTAATAGCTAATGGGAGTAAGGTCTAATTTGACCGTAATCTTAAATGATTTCATAGCTATTTCTGTCTTTTTAATATATTTTTTCATCTAGATGTGACAATTACCTTTGAAAGCAGATAATAAAGTTGCTGCATTGCACGTTAGTGCAAGCTCACACAGCTAATGGCTAATGTGGGTAAGCTCCAATTTTGCGCATACCTTAAATTATCTTCAGTTTTGACATGGACTCATGTTGCTAATGGCTAATGTGAGCTTGCAGTAATTTGACTATAATCTTAACAGATTTCATAAATGTTTTTGTCAGTTTTGGTATTGTGTCGACTCCTGGCGAAAATCATTGTTGGGATCAATGCTCATTAAGCTGCAGAGTGAGAACTGATAATAGAGATGCTCTGTCAAGTGAGGCTCTAAAAATTGCACATTATTTGCTGAAAAGAAAAATTTACCAAATCTGCCACTTACCTTGAGAATCATTTGCAAAGGATAAAATCAAATTAGTTTCTGCAGACGGTAGCTACTGGAGCAAAGGGAATTAAGATGAAAAAGTCCAGAAATGTATGGCTCTCTTCACTGAACATGTTTTTTTCCCCTTCGTTCCCTGCTGCCATGGCAACCTAAAATATAGGTCTGGTGACTTAAAAGGAAGCAAGCGTAAAGAGAATTAATAAAATGAATTTTATTGTATCTGGCACACAATTCATCGGGGTATTAAGGAGATTCTGTGCTGGTTTGAGAGCCGGGAGTGAGACAAAGCCTGCACAGCTTTACGGTGCATAGCGGTAGCCTGTTTAATTATGTGCTGGTGACATGTTTACTAGGCCTTATCTCTCTGTTTGCTTGGCTCATTTTTTTCAGTCAGTTGGCGCCTGAAATCCCTCATGCCATGCCGGGAAGTTAAATGAGGGCAAGGAGGCCCATTTAAACATTGATAATCCCTGCAGCGGCTAATTATTGATCCTTCTCTGCTCCTGCACCAAAAGGCAACTACAGTGAAGGGTGATGTGTGCGCAGGTGTACAGTACAGCTCACACAACATTGCACCTGGTGATGGTGACACACTCTCAATGTCAGGGTGCACTTGTATCATTGCTTTAGAGAGAATCTTCAACATCCAGAAGAGCCTGATTCCAATTTTAGGCTTAAGCTGATAATGAGGACTGTGTTCTTTTCTATTCAGAAAGAGAGAGAAAAAAAAACATATTTTTTCACCCTTTGTGTCTGTGTTCACACATCACAGCACACTTGTGCACGCTGAGGGCTTTGTCTGCACGAGAGGGTGCTTCACTCTCTGCATGATAATCTTATGAACAGATTTCTGCGCGATTAGCATGTTATTTAAACCAGCTTTGAAGGTATAGCCTTTGGGTAAAACAACTACTACGGCATCAAAGAAATTCTACAAAGCCCGTCGTAAGCTCTTTTACACAATCACACAGGGGATGGAGAACGAGGGAGACAAGAAAAATGCTTCCTTTATTCTAAAGGCAGGTTAGGAATCCAGGGAGTGGTGAGCTATCTGGGGTATTGTCTTAACCAAGTCGAAGAGGAATGTATCGCCCAAACCCTGCGGCCTCTGAAAGAGCACAGCAATAATGGTAATATAGAAGTTTTTTCTTTTTCTTTTTTTTTTTGAAACAGAAGCCATGAGAAGCCTCAGTGGTAGAACAGTTAAAAAGAAAGGGTTTAATTTGGCCTCCTGTAGGTATTCTCTCATGGACGTTGACCTTCAGCAGAGTAAAAAGGTGTCATGGTCCACTGACACTCATCTACTTGAACACAGGCTGCAGTTCTCAGCCCTAACAGAAGTGAGGATCACATTTAACATAATTGGATTTGACTTGTACTCACATCAGACTGGAAAGGCAGTGCTAACATTTACTTAGATAGATATTTTTATTTAAAAAATTGTACACATTAGCATTGTTTTAGGACCCTTGTGTTTTACACCAATATTTTGATGTGTTTATTTGCAGCAGCTGAATAAAAATCCTGAAAATTGTCATCCTCTGCCTAAACTACAGCGACGCTGTGTGAATTTTGCAAAGGAAATGCCACCCAAGCACTGTCAGCTTGTTTATTTCCAATGTGGATTAGTCTCCTTCTTTTTGGAGTCTGACATTTGTGCACCTTATTTCCTGCAGCTCTATCTCTCACACTGTTATGACTCACCGGCTCCTCGCTGGTCCATGGAGTTTGGGTGACATTTAGCCAAAGCCTTGACTTGACACTCAGGTCATCGGTACTTGAGGATTAAAGCGCCTGTAAAACCAAATTGTATTTTATTCTAATAACAGTAATAGAATGAGATTTTCATTCAAAAGAGGTTGAAACGGCTCACTCTCTGCTGGTGCATGGTACCACAGATTTTCAAACATAAATTAGACGCTTCTTCAGACACAACAGCTGTTGAGATCAGCAGTAGTGAGCTCATGTTCCCTCACTAGTATTTATCTCCTACTTATCTCTCTTCCTCTAAAAAAAACTTGAAGCAAATGCCTCTCTCTGTTTCGGAGGCATAAAGGGGCTGTTTTTCTTCTGATTCATCAACCCGTTACCTAACCTCTCTATAAACACTTAATTAAGACGCCTATGTGTGGGACACTGCCCTCCCTGTAAAGAGACAGTCCATCAAAGACTTGAGGATCAAGGACGTGCTGCTTTCGCGGCTGACCAGTGTTGGTCTCATTAATAAAATCAGAGACGACAGGAGGACGGCGGTTTGATTCAGTCAGGTTGCTGGAGGTGTGTTTGAAGTTAGCTGCCGTCTCATTTACCCATTAGGTGTTTATCTGAAGCAGATCACAAGGCAGTCAGGTGGAAAGCATGTACCATGTTCAACACTTTGATTTTGATGTTTTAATACGTTTAAACAGTTTCCTTCTCAGGCATCACTGCTTAGTAACTAAGAAATAATCTCTTTATTGTCCAGTTAGAAGACTGATATATTTATATTTAGAAACATTTTAAATTTTTACATAACCAAGGATATTGGATTTACTTAAATCAGGATTGGATTGAATAGCTAGAATTTGTCCTTAGAGATTTCAGTAAAATGTGTGCACTGTTAAAATAGTAACAGTAATAGTAAATAGTAATAGCAAAAATATTGATTTCTCTATGTTTCTCCTTATTGTTTTTTGGTATTTTATGTGCAGAGCTGGAGGTAGCGCGGATGAGCACGGATGGGAATTTGCCTGATCTGAAGTTCCCTAAAACTCAAGGCCAGGGTAACTCAATCCATCTCTCCGCAAACACGCTGAGGCAACACGGACGCAACGGTGAGTCATGAAAGTTGACTTGGTTTTACTTGTCCATGTACCGTTGGGTTGGTTTTATGTCACCTGACAGTGCAATCCATATTTGATGGTGAAGCCCTGTGTTATTTTTATAGTACTGTGCAAAGGTTTTAGGTATTTATATACAGTGACTGTGTAACCATCCGTTTTTTAAAACTATGTTCTTTACGTATGCTAGGCTATTCGAGGAGTTTTAGTCTAATTTCACAATTCATTAAAGTATAGTGTAATTAATAATAAGTTTAGTGTAATTACACAATTTATTGTACTTATTTGTCTTCTTCCAGAAAACATATCTCTAAAATCCCACATATTTTATAATAAAATTATTAAATTGTCAACTCTAAGTAAGTAGTCAAAATTATTAGAACTTAAGAAAAGAAAGTCATGATCTAAGGCGACAACAAATATAAAGCTGTTCGTGGAACTTGGAACTTCAGGCTTGGTAAAAATTTTCTTCCAACTTTGTGTTCACATAACTCTCTATTTAAATAAAAAGAACTTTGAATATTACGGTTAACAGTGCATAGCATTTATAACCTGCAGGTCAGATATTCATCATGCTATGATGAAGGTGCTTCTCTGTTATTTGTTGTTTTGATTAGTTTTTTACTCCTTCGTGGACATGGTAATGAACATGGATTTGTAGAAATTAGACTGTTTAAAACAGCCTTTAAATCAGTGTAATGTATCTGGTTATAAAAAGTATAAAAGCACGTTTTTAGTTCAGTTCTCATTCATGGCCGTGACTTGAATGCACGCTGCGTTCAAGCGCTGCCTCTGAACTCTACGCTATGCAGTTCAATACAATACAAGAGCTTTCTTCAGCTCCATTTGTAGTCTTTATCGTCACTGTAATACAAATCAGACTCAGCTCAAGCTGTGCCTGCTGCCTCTCCACGAGATGACTCAGCCCATGTCCAGCCAAGCCCTGGAGGATTGACAGATCTTTCCATGTCATCTAGAGCCGCAGCGCCTAAATGGTTAAGCTCTCATTTCAGTGAGTGGTCCCAGCCACAGCAGGAGGCCATATTTGTTTTCATACATACATTTCCCCGTATCTTACATCAAAACGTCAACACAACACAATCGCAATCTCTACCATATACATGGGTCTATTTCAGTCTGCCTCAAGAAATCCACCCGTGGTAGAGTGTGTTTCCTGTGGCAGGGTGACGTTGTAGTGGAGGTTTCCCTAAAGAGACTCTTCAACAGCTGCTTGAGCTAATGTTCAATATTTTAAATGAAAACCAGTTGAACACTGATGTGTCTGAAAGCTGTGGCCTTAAGGTGATTCTGATTCTTGCACTGAGCTGCACGAGATCATGGAATTATGAGGTTTTACAACCATGAAACAGTTGTTCCAGCCAACATTAGAGTCTAATTTTCTCTCTATGGGATTTGATCTTATTTTATTTTTCAGTACTCTTTTAATCCCCTAAGGGATACTGCTGTCAGTGCAGTGCAGTATTTAACCCATCCGTGAAACTCACCACTGATTAAAGTCGGACGAACAAAAACACTTTTCTGCTGGGATGTGGAGCAGGGAGGTTTTGGTGCTTGCTCAACGCAACACAGGGGAGGGATTCAAACCAGCAGTACTCTGATTACACACTGATCCTTTAACCAGTAGGCTATTCATTGTTATTGCCAGCGACACATTAATAGCTTTGCCAGTAGCCTAGAGCAGCAGTGTCAAACTCAGTCGCTCAAGAGCCCAAAATGCAAAACAAGTCTTAGACAACAAGAAGTCTAGTTGGGGGCTAACCAGGATTAACATTTATTAAGCAGGCTAGTATTTACCCAGGATGCTGGGAGGCAGGTCACAAATGAATGTGGATTATATTCTTCCGGTAAACATAATATAGAATTTAAATTTAAGTCAACCATGCACATGTAAAGCACATGTAGGCTGTTTAACATGACCAGCATGCCAGGTTCAGCCTGTGAGCGTTGAATTTGAGACATGTGGCCTAGAGCAGTGGTCCCCAACCTTTATGCACCAAAGACATGTAATACCACGCTATTGTTGAAGTATCATAAAATTTCAAAATAAAACATCTTTTAGACTTTATTTTGTTAGTATCTGAATGGCCCGTTGTTTTTCCATTTCAAGAAGATTTGCCTTGAAATGGAAAATGTTTCAAAAGATAAAAGGATATGAGTGGCTTAATTGTGAATGAAGTACATTAGTAAAACTGAAGTACATTGTTTTTGTCCCACTGTGGCCTGGTACCTAATGACCTACAGACCAGAACTGGTCCCCGAACCGGAGGTTGGGTACTCCTGGCCTAGAGGGATTAATAATGGCCGTGAAATTGCTTAAAGAGAAAGATTAAAAAATAGAATAAATACTTTGCTAAATGATATATAAATTACTTAGAAACAAAACATCAGAAATTACTCTCCTACTCTACTTTAAGAGTCTGTGCTACAATGTTTTTGCCAGCTAGGAGCCTAAACTGATAATCAAGCAAACCACAGAGGCCGAAACAACTTTTGCTCTTTTAGGAAATATCGTCCGTGGTCTTTGACCACGTGCAGTGGAACGTTTGATGCTCTGTGTGTTAAAAATCTCAACCTCTTTTCACTGCCGTGTTCCTGCAGGTGAAATCCGCATCGCCTTTGTTCTGTACAAACACATCGGGGTCTATCTCTCGACTGAGAACGCCAGCATGAAGTTAGGCAGTGAAGCCATGGCTACCAATTACTCGGTCATCGTCAACTCTCCTGTGATCACAGCTGCAATCAACAAGGACTCCAACAAAGTCTACCTCTCTGACCCAGTCATTTTTACCATCAGACACCTCCAGGTAATGCTCTCTCTCTCTTTCTCTCTCACTCTCTCTCCCTCCATCTCTGTTTCTATCCTTAAGTTTTGCTGCTATGTTTGTGACTCTGCATTTCATTTACCCACAAATATAGATGTAAACTGCTTTGACAGAATGGCGCTATTGTGCAACAGAAAGCAAAAATCCCTGTCTCTAAAAGGATTGAGGAGGTTTATTCCAGGGAGAAAAGGCGAAATTGAACAGAAGGTGATGCATGGCAATGTCCGCTGTCACTTATTCGATGGAGCACGCACCTGCCTGATCTGCTGAACAAATCGCAGTCGTATTGAGCCTCACCAGAGGCTGGTTAGTCATTGTGGGAGGCATGACTTCTCCCTCTTGACTCCATTATCTTCTCCACACTCCACTACCTTGGAAATATCCCCAGTTTGTCTACAAACAGCGGCTTCAGCAATTATCAGGCATGTTGAACAGCCACAGGAGAACTGCAGAGGATTGAATGTGTAGGAGGAACCTGGAGGGGAGCAACGGTGGCCGAAAAAAAAAGAAAAACAATCCAAAAACGATAGCTCGGGGATGTCAGAATGAAATGGCTGCTAAATGTCAGGGGGGAGGTGTCTGTGTAGTTATGGCCGTGACTCACCTGCTTTAAGAATAGTGTGTAATTTGGACTGTAGATTCAGTAATTTTACTGTTGGTCAAATGTTGGGGCATCGGCTTTCTTTACCAGCTCGTCTTATTCATCTCAAGTCATTTCAATAAAACACTGCCCTTTTGTAAAAGTGTGGCATTTCCCACCTACGAGAGCCGTCGGAGAAGCCAAAACCAAAGTGGAGCCGCTTCACACGGCACTTGTCTCGCTGTTACATTAAAGAGCCATAAACACACACATTTACATATAGAGTACCTTTTGTGCACACCCAAGGGTTGTGACAATAAATCATGCGATAATCATGATTAGAGTTGAGCTGAATTGGATGCAATATTGACATTTTGTGTACAGCGTGTTTCCTTAAGGCCTCCCTCTTCTCGGATAAACAGGAGAACCAATCAGAGGTGTTGTTAGGTGATCACTCACATTAAGAGGTCGCTGCCTCCTGAGTGCAGCTGTGGCCGTGGGAGGAGAATATTACCTATTTTATTTTGTGGCGCGACATAAATAATTTTTATCTTCTATGACATTACTGTTAAATTATAACGTTTTTTAATTTAAATTTGGCTCGCACAGTCAAAGATGGATCGATATTAATGAGGATCATAAGCAGAATTTTGCCCATGATGTCGCAATCTACAGTAGAACGACCATAATCATGAGGCCAATATGCACTAAAGCAAATGATGTGCTGTACGCAACACGCTGTTTGAAATGCTTAAACAACAGATTAGAAGATATTAATTATTTTTCTAGTGTGTGTTGACTCATTTGGAACTTGCCCTTGAGGATGAGCCTCAGTTGTCTCGTCTCCTCCTCTGAGGAGAGGGGTTCCTATTTTACCGGCTCCCCGCTGTTAAGTCTCCCCCTCCCCGTTAAACCATTAGGTTCTGGATCACTGGTCTTCTGGGATGAATATGTGTCCTCTAGTTATTGTTTCGCTTCCTTGCCTCAACACTTAATGGGACCAATTAAAGTCATTAATAGGACCGAGGTTGGTCCTGTCTCCTCGCTGCAGAATATTTTACAGAGGGATTGGGCGTGTGAAGGGTGAATTCAATCATGTGCAAATTTACATTCACAGAGGATAAACCTTATTAGACTAATTACCCCGCAGCACGTGTGAAACCGTGTGTGTTTATACTGAGAAGGCAGACGTGTTTAACCTTGGATGCCGTGAGTCTTTGAGGAAAGGATGGAGAGCGTTCTATTTTCTCTGCAATTTTTTGAAGCTTCAAAAAGGAAATTGGACTCGGGAGGGAAGAGACTTTGGATGGAACTATTTATCAGCTGTTATGTTTTTTTTCCCGTGGCCATGTCTCCCAGCCACCACAGTGCCTCAGATCACTTTTACAAAATGGCAAGCAGGAAAGCAGGGAGGCGGGCTTGTCGTTAGGGCCTGTAGCCTGCTGCAGACTGAGGTGGCGTCCATTAAACAGTGGGACAGTCCATTGTCATGCAGGGAGAGTTAAAAAGAAAGGTCAGAAAAACACGTGGAGAACAGGCGTGGGGCCGCTTGATACGGTGAAACAGTAAAACCTCCTGGCACTGGCTTCAGAATGGCTATGGAATACAACAGAGACTCATGAGCGTTTTGAAGATGTCTGTTCAGGGAGAAATGGCCACGTCTAATGTACTTTCCCCCAATTTCACTAATTTGATTCCGACCCATTAATTTACGTCTATTTTACTCCTAACAGCAATCGAAGGAGAATTTCAACCCCAACTGTTCGTTCTGGAGCTACTCCAAGAAAACAATGACCGGCTACTGGTCCACGCAGGACTGCCGTTTGCTGGGCACTAACAGGACTCACACCACCTGCTCCTGCACCCACCTCACCAATTTTGCTGTTCTGATGGCACACGTGGATGTCAAGGTATGTCTGCTCTTTCCAAAATGTGACGTTCACAAATTGCTTCCCAAATGCTTTACAGCCAGTGTCACCAGTAATTCTCCGGAGAAAGTCCTGGGACAAAGCAAGACATTTTTGACACTTTTTCCAGTGACAATATGGAGAACTACTGAGAATATTTCCACCAGGCTGATACTGATACTTTCAGAAGGGCAATTAACAATATTACAACTGTGTGTGTTTACCTTGCTTTGTAGCATTTGTCTGCATTACCCTGCATGATGCAGTGATCAGGGGTGCAGTCACAGGGGATTTTGTTTCTATCCTTTAAACTTGATGATGAATAAAAGGTTTTAGATAACATAACAGTGACATTTTCCTTTAAGATATTTCACTGAGTCGGAATATAGCATATATTTTCCCAGATAAATCTCATAGGAAGCCTCCAAGAATCATAGAGTCACCACAACCACAAATGTGAATATGTTTAAAGATGAGAATAGCTTAGTTTACAAAAATGATTCATCCAAAATAAAACCTGTCCACCTTTGTAACATCAGCCTAAGTGGGTGTATCTGTATCTACATTTAAAAGAAGAGAAGCTCATTACATTCAGGTTTATAAAATGTCTGATTTGTACTTCAGAGGTTATACTTGTATAACAGTTGCTGTGCTGTTAATGTTTGCATGTATTCTCAGTAGCCTGGCTGTAGCTCAGTTGGTGGTCCTACACCCAGAAGGTTGTGTTTTTTTATACCAGACTTTTTAGATGTGTTGGTAAATGGCAAATGTTGCTGTGAAAAGGTTTGAGTAGTCAACAAATAAACCTTATTTCTTACAAGAAAATAACATTTTTAAAAAACGCCATTTATCTTCACAATGCAGGGTTCCTTCCACACTCTAGCCTTCCTTTCTTCAGGGTAGAAACAGTACTGCAGTGAATAAGTACTGTACAGTCAGAAGTACAGCACAAGTGTGATGTGGAGCAGAGAGCCATTAACAAAGAGGCGCTAATGAAAGTTGTAGGGAGGCATTAAAGAACAGCAATTTGGCCTGGAGATTTGTGTGGAGTGATTACTCCCGGCAGCTCTCATGGTGCTGGGTTAGTAAAGAAAAATGGAACGAGGACGAGGACGGAGATGGTGTAGTGAAGAGAGGAAGGAGAAGGAAGGAGCTGTTTTGTTGTCCTGATGCTGACAGACAGCTTCATTATTTCTGTCACAGGGAGTTTTAGGAGCCCAGTGCTGACACAGCAGAGTAGTTGTTGGTATCTGCTGTGGCATCTGTCTCCGTACAGCTCTTCTTCTGCATCAGTGGGACAACAAAAAAAAAAGAAAGTAAACACTGAGTACTGTCCATATTGACCCTGATGGTGTAGCCTCTATCTCCCGGGCTTATTCTTATCTCATGCACTATTCTAAAGCACAAACTCGACATTCACGAGCTGGCAGTCGCACATGAAATCTCAAAATTTAGTGTTTTTTACCCCGTATGCACAGGACTCCTGGGAGGTCTTTGATGGTGTGATTTACTTGTAGCCAAAGGGAGCCACTGTTTTGTTACTCAGAGGCGTGACTTTCAGACCCACTAAGCACTCTGCAGGGCTGAGGCCAAGCCTGGAATATAGAGAGAAAGAGAGAGTGGCAGAGAATAGGAGCATACACGCAATGAAAGCATAGCAGCACACAAAAAAAAGTTTGCAGTAAAAGGACGGCTTTCAGTCAGACCATTCCCAACATTTAGAAAAGCAGGTGGCTTGTGGTGCTGCATTCACTGAAGAAAAGTGCACAGAGGTTACACCCTATTTTTTGACTGATAGTGTTTTCTTCACCTTCTCTTACTCTTTATCTTTTCCACTCACGCCGCAGTAAAAGGTGGCTTGTTGAAAGCAGCTGCTGAATGGGAGATACAGAGGCTTTTTAACGTGACGAGCTGTCGCAGTATGATTGCAGTGAATGGATAAATGTGCGTGTGTGTGTGTAAGTGTGTGTGTGCAGAAACAGAGACGTAGAAGGGCGTGGAGAAATTTTTATAAATTGAAGATCTGTTTTTGTAGCCATGGCAACAGGACATACCATAGCTCATCCCAGCTTTGTTATCACTCATTGCCTTCAGAGCAGCATGTAATATTCCTGACCTGTTTATTTCTCACTGGCATCTCCAAAAGATGAAAGCTGTAATTACAGAGGCTCGCCGCACTATCGTCAACATCTTTTATGTTGTTGTTTTGTCGGCCCCGCGGATCATGTGCATGTCGGTTGACAATAATGACAGCAGTTCAGAATGAAAACTTTATACGCTGCCTTCAAATTTGTTGTTCAAATGTCATGGCTCTGCTCTTGCTGTTTAAGATGTAACGGAACAAATACAGCGTACTTCAAAAAAGTACCTCTAATTAAGGCTCCTGGTCATCTGCAGGGCACTGGCCGTCTGTTTGTATTTTCCTTTTTCTCTTTCTGACCTCGTTTTCCAGAATAGAAATGCATCCAAGCCAGCTAGGTGGCAGTATTGTAACTGGATGTCTGGAAGCATCAATTTCAGAAAACCTCATATCGGAATGAAATAGCGTAAGGACATGTCTTTAAAAAAGTCTGTAAATTAAAGTGCATTGTTGGAGGTGTACTGCAGTAAGCATCAGCAGTGCTCAGTCCTTTAGTTACCTCTGAGGCCTTAGTGTGTACTGCTCTATTTAACTCTTCACATACCATCAAGGATTTAAAAGATGTTCTCAGATTTACCACCTAAATCTAGATGTCTATAAACTTTTTGTCAGGTTCTTTAACTTTGTAGAATACATTTGGATATAGAATTCAATCTCAAATCTATCTGACAAAGGGAGCCAGTGCTGTGATTTGTACAAAGTAATTTTTTTCTCTGAGTGGGATGCAAAGAACCGAACAAACAAAGCAGTAATTACGTATTCATGATGTGTAATCAATGTGCTGCCTTTTTAAAAAGCCGTTTATGATGTTAAATATTTTTTCCCTCTCAGTGGCCGAGCATACACTTAAAATATGTACATGCATTAACATTATTTCTTCAGTCAAGTAATCTTATAATCACATTCATTCTGACATTGATTGCAAGTGTGGGCAAGAGGCAGAAACTTTTGCTCTGCTAAAAGAAACACTGGCGCTTAAGTGTACTTTACAGAAAGTGATGTTTCTGCCTCATCCAACATTCTTCAAATAGTACTTCCAATAATTTATATATTAATTTGTGAAAAAAATAATTAAAATATCTCCTGAGATGTTGAGAAATGTGCTGATTTTTGATATGTTAAATTTAAGTCAAATGTCCTCCTACTTTAAAAAAGAGCACAATACAAACAGCAAGCTGTTCAAGTGAAGGCAAAAAAATTAAGGTAATAAAGGTCATATTTTACTTTATGTCCATTGTTCTTACACTGTAATGTTGTTGCAGAATAACAAGAATCTGTTCCCAGATAGTAGCAGAATGCAGTCTTATTCTTGTGAGTTGGAGGAGGTCTGCATTGCTACATGACTGCACCGTACAAACAATTAGCCAAAGAGCAAGATGATGCAAGCTGCTCCGCTTGGCTCCAACAGAAGCACCACATGCAAATTGAGTGGGTTTTTTTGTCTGTGCTGAAACGAGCAAATTAACAGCATGGACCAATTGGATTCTATTCTTACTGTAAATGATCACAGTGAGGTTAAGTGATGTTCCAGCTGCAGGTGTTGTCATTTCAACCCCTTTTTACCCCCTTTGCTAATTTCAAGCCATCGCTGACAACCTAGAATGGATGTTACAGCCTGAGCAGAGAGGCATTGTTGCATAAAAAAGAAAAAATCAAACTGTAGTCGCACTCGGCAGCTGCATTTTAGAGATTAGATCTTTTGTACAGACGGAGACGTAATGCTTTGATGTGATTTTGCCAAGACTGATGAATCTTACCTTAAGATGTCGTATTGTGTCCTGCCTCGGGGGATTCACTTTGATCAAAGCAGCTTAAAAAGTCCTCTCTATTCAACGTTGAAAAGCAGGATTTAGCCCAGTCATTAGAGCTGTTTCACTCACACACCACACAGACGTTTAAGTGACACTGTTTCACTTGTAAACGACTCGATAACAGGGCGACGTTGACTTGTTTCTGTGCCACAGATTAGTCTCTTTTTTTGCATGAATCTTTCTGGGTCAGCCCGGCCTTTTTGAGCTTAACGAATGTCACTGTAAATACGCCATAGATCTCCGTGTCATCAGTGTGCATTTAGGACATATTTTTTCCATTCCCTAATGGCTCAAACCCATTCAGACTCTCAGGGTTCCATATTGAACCCTTTCCTTTGAATTCCAGTCGCCCATTTGTAAGGATAGCCAGTGGGCATTAGGAGAAATAGAGAATTATTTTAAATATGGGCTAAACCACAGGCCCCATCTCAAGAAATATAGGCCTGCTCTGGTTCCTTCTAGAGGCTATTATTTACATAGCAGATATGTGCGCAGAGATCGGCCCCAGGGAAGTATTGGGCCACTGGTAAGTGGCACTGTTCCCCACAGACCAGTAAGTATAAATCAATGGCTTATCCCGCTGGATGATGGAGAGTGTGATATTTGGGTAACATTCATCACTGTCCTCACGAAACGTCTTCGCAGTGGCACCATCAGACGCTAGCTATGATGAGAGAGGACAGTCAAGGTTAGCCTAGTGTTTTGTATGGCGTAACATACAATACAAGGATGCTGTAGCATGGAACTAATGCAGGGGTAATGTTCAGAACAAATCTAGTTATATCTTTAAAGCACACAACAGGGAAGACAAAGATCAGGCTGACCGTCGTGGCAACCAGAACAGATGCTGGGACTTAATGCCACTGCAATTGTAGCTTAGAAAATGGTGTGACACATAGGTACATGTGCTGAATGTCAGCTCCAGCTACACGCTCTGGAATCTGTCTCTCTGTACTGTGAAATGTGACAACTTATCCAGGCTCCCTGATTCATTTCCCCCTGTGCGACTGTTCCTCATCCTCATGCAGAGCATAAATCCTTGGTCATATTAT